TGGTATTAAGTGAACAAGGCGAGCACGATAAGCTCACACTGGAAGCGGGTCAGGAGTGATGGCTGAATGCCACATTTGGGGCCCCCCTGGGAAGGTCTGAGAGAAGGGACATGAGAAGGTCTAGCAGGTCAACCTCTGAGAAGAGGGGCAGAACACCAGACATCCTTTTGGATCCTTGTTGTTTACAGTGTCAAGGACACCTATTATTATGTGAGTAATGTGTAGGTGGAGATGCGTGAACATCATTGGTTGGAAAGGCACTGTGTCCAGCTTAATTAGTGTGATGTGTGAGGTGACAGTTGTCATAACTCAATTCAGACTATTCTGTATTGCCAAGTCCTTTATCAGCTGCTGATGGTTGTTGGCCAAATGTACAATGATTATGAGAGCTGAGCAGTTAGATTTTTAAAGTTTTGGAAGTACTTGTGATTTATAGAACATTTATTAATCTCATGTTATTTTCAGCAATAGAAAAAACACTGAGAGATGCTCAAGTTCTATTTCAAGATTGGAAATGCAAGGAAAAAAAGAATCATGGTAAGCATGCAGTTCTTATTATTGTGTATATAAAGGTTTGAATTGGGAATATTTTGTAATATGATTATTAACTATTGGTGCAAATGTTAGATCCACTGAAAAATGTACTTGAAATAAATGATGGGACTCGAATTTCACAGTTGCTGTTCCACTGGTTTACCATCATTGACTTTTGAGGTTTTTGTTAAGCCTGCATTGATAGACTTTGCATTTTAAACAGATTCACCATAGCATGGTGATGGAAGATCCAGAATGAGTTTTTCAGTTTTAAGTGCAAGGTATGTATTATGAATGAAGTATCATGGTATTATATTAGTTGAGCTATGATGAGTAAAATGTTGTAAAGGCAGTTCCATGTGTAGTGATAAAGTGACAAGGCAGCACAAGCTCACACTAGGGGTCAGAGTGAGGCTGATGCCACATTTGCCCCTGGGAAGGTCTGAGAGAAGGGACATGAGAAGGTCTAGCAGGTCAACCTCTGAGAAGAGGGGCAGAACACCAGACATCCTTTTGGATCCTTGTTGTTTACAGTGTCAAGGACACCTATTTATTATGTGAGTAATGTGTAGGTGGAGGTGCGTGAACATCATTGGTTGGAAAGGCACTGTGTCCAGCTTAATTTAGTGTGATGTGTGAGGTGACAGTTGTCATAACTCAATTCAGACTATTCTGTATTGCCAAGTCCTTTATCAGCTGCTGATGGTTGTGGGCCAAATGTACAATGATTATGAGAGCTGAGCAGTTAGATTTTTAAAGTTTTGGAAGTACTTGTGATTTATAGAACATTTATTAATCTCATGTTATTTTCAGCAATAAGAAAAACACCGTGAGAGATGCTCAAGTTCTATTTCAAGATTGGAAATGCAAGGAAGAAAAGAAATAGAATCATGGTAAGCATGCAGTTCTTATTATTGTGTATATAAAGGTTTGAATTGGGAATATTTTGTAATATGATTATTAACTATTGGTGCAAATGTTAGATCCACTGAAAAATGTACTTGAAATAAATGATGGGACTCGAATTTCACAGTTGCTGTTCCACTGGTTTACCATCATTGACTTTTGAGGTTTTTGTTAAGCCTGCATTGATAGACTTTGCATTTTAAACAGATTCACCATAGCATGGTGATGGAAGATCCAGAATGAGTTTTTCAGTTTTAAGTGCAAGGTATGTATTATGAATGAAGTATCATGGTATTATATTAGTTGAGCTATGATGAGTAAAATGTTGTAAAGGCAGTTCCATGTGTAGTGATAAAGTGACAAGGCAGCACAAGCTCACACTAGGGGTCAGAGTGAGGCTGATGCCCCTGGGAAGGTCTGAGAGAAGGGACATGAGAAGGTCTAGCAGGTCAACCTCTGAGAAGAGGGGCAGAACACCAGACATCCTTTTGGATCCTTGTTGTTTACAGTGTCAAGGACACCTATTTATTATGTGAGTAATGTGTAGGTGGAGGTGCGTGAACATCATTGGTTGGAAAGGCACTGTGTCCAGCTTAATTTAGTGTGATGTGTGAGGTGACAGTTGTCATAACTCAATTCAGACTATTCTGTATTGCCAAGTCCTTTATCAGCTGCTGATGGTTGTGGGCCAAATGTACAATGATTATGAGAGCTGAGCAGTTAGATTATTATGTGATGGAAGTACTTTTGTTTTATAGGACATTCATTAATCCTCCTCTGTCTCTGCCTCCCTCCCTCCTTCCAGCAATAGGAAAAGCACTGAGAGGGATGCTCACCTATTTCAAGACCCAAATGCAAGGAATTGATACAAATGGTAAGTATGTCTTAATGTCATGTTACATAAAGGTTTTTAATGGCTAATTGTAACAAGATTATTAAGTGTGGTGTAGATATTGGATCTGTTGAAAAATATATTTGGAACAAATGAGACTAGGTATTTTCACTTGTAGAATTTCATTTACTGTCACTGATTTTTCAGACATTGTATTTTTGGTTGCATTTATGGATTTTCCCTTTTAAACAGATGACCATATGCTGCTAGAAAATGCAGAATGATTATTCTAGCTTGAAGTGCAAGGTATGTATTATGAATGAAGTATCATGTTATAGTAGTTGAGCTATGATGAGTAAAATGTTGTAAAGGCAGTGCCATGTAGTGATAAAGTGACAAGGCAGCACAAGCTCACACTAGGGGTCAGAGTGAGGCTGATGCCACATTTGCCCCTGGGAAGGTCTGAGAGAAGGGACATGAGAAGGTCTAGCAGGTCAACCTCTGAGAAGAGGGGCAGAACACCAGACATCCTTTTGGATCCTTGTTGTTTACAGTGTCAAGGACCCTATATATTATGTGAGTAATGTGTAGGTGGAGATGCGTGAACATCATTGGTTGGAAAGGCACTGTGTCCAGCTTAATTTAGTGTGATGTGTGAGGTGACAGTTGTCATAACTCAATTCAGACTATTCTGTATTGCCAAGTCCTTTATCAGCTGCTGATGGTTGTTGGCCAAATGTACAATGATTATGAGAGCTGAGCAGTTAGATTTTTAAAGTTTTGGAAGTACTTGTGATTTATAGAACATTTATTAATCTCATGTTATTTTCAGCAATAAGAAAAACACCGTGAGAGATGCTCAAGTTCTATTTCAAGATTGGAAATGCAAGGAAGAAAAGAAATAGAATCATGGTAAGCATGCAGTTCTTATTATTGTGTATATAAAGGTTTGAATTGGGAATATTTTGTAATATTATTATTAACTATTGGTGCAAATGTTAGATCCACTGAAAAATGTACTTGAAATAAATGATGGGACTCGAATTTCACAGTTGCTGTTCCACTGGTTTACCATCATTGACTTTTGAGGTTTTTGTTAAGCCTGCATTGATAGACTTTGCATTTTAAACAGATTCACCATAGCATGGTGATGGAAGATCCAGAATGAGTTTTTCAGTTTTAAGTGCAAGGTATGTATTATGAATGAAGTATCATGGTATTATATTAGTTGAGCTATGATGAGTAAAATGTTGTAAAGGCAGTTCCATGTGTAGTGATAAAGTGACAAGGCAGCACAAGCTCACACTAGGGGTCAGAGTGAGGCTGATGCCCCTGGGAAGGTCTGAGAGAAGGGACATGAGAAGGTCTAGCAGGTCAACCTCTGAGAAGAGGGCAGAACACCAGACATCCTTTTGGATCCTTGTTGTTTACAGTGTCAAGGACACCTATTTATTATGTGAGTAATGTGTAGGTGGAGGTGCGTGAACATCATTGGTTGGAAAGGCACTGTGTCCAGCTTAATTTAGTGTGATGTGTGAGGTGACAGTTGTCATAACTCAATTCAGACTATTCTGTATTGCCAAGTCCTTTATCAGCTGCTGATGGTTGGGGCCAAATGTACAATGATTATGAGAGCTGAGCAGTTAGATTATTATGTGATGGAAGTACTTTTTGTTTTATAGGACATTCATTAATCCTCCTCTGTCTCTGCCTCCCTCCCTCCTTCCAGCAATAGGAAAAGCACTGAGAGGGATGCTCACCTATTTCAAGACCCAAAATGCAAGGAATTGATACAAATGGTAAGTATGTAGTCTTAATGTCATGTTACATAAAGGTTTTTAATGGCTAATTGTAACAAGATTATTAAGTGTGGGTGTAGATATTGGATCTGTTGAAAAATATATTTGGAACAAATGAGACTAGGTATTTTCACTTGTAGAATTTCATTTACTGTCACTGATTTTTCAGACATTGTATTTTTTGGTTGCATTTATGGATTTTCCCTTTTTAAACAGATGACCATATGCTGCTAGAAAATGCAGAATGATTATTCTAGCTTGAAGTGCAAGGTATGTATTATGAATGAAGTATCATGTTATAGTAATTTGAGCTATGATGAGTAAAATGTTGTAAAGGCAGTGCCATGTGTGATAAAGTGACAAGGCAGCACAAGCTCACACTAGGGGTCAGAGTGAGGCTGATGCCACATTTGCCCCTGGGAAGGTCTGAGAGAAGGGACATGAGAAGGTCTAGCAGGTCAACCTCTGAGAAGAGGGGCAGAACACCAGACATCCTTTTGGATCCTTGTTGTTTACAGTGTCAAGACACCTATATATTATGTGAGTAATGTGTAGGTGGAGATGCGTGAACATCATTGGTTGGAAAGGCACTGTGTCCAGCTTAATTTAGTGTGATGTGTGAGGTGACAGTTGTCATAACTCAATTCAGACTATTCTGTATTGCCAAGTCCTTTATCAGCTGCTGATGGTTGTGGGCCAAATGTACAATGATTATGAGAGCTGAGCAGTTAGATTTTTAAAGTTTTGGAAGTACTTGTGATTTATAGAACATTTATTAATCTCATGTTATTTTCAGCAATAAGAAAAACACGTGAGAGATGCTCAAGTTCTATTTCAAGATTGGAAATGCAAGGAAGAAAAGAAATAGAATCATGGTAAGCATGCAGTTCTTATTATTGTGTATATAAAGGTTTGAATTGGGAATATTTTGTAATATGATTATTAAACTATTGGTGCAAATGTTAGATCCACTGAAAAATGTACTTGAAATAAATGATGGGACTCGAATTTCACAGTTGCTGTTCCACTGGTTTACCATCATTGACTTTTGAGGTTTTTGTTAAGCCTGCATTGATAGACTTTGCATTTTAAACAGATTCACCATAGCATGGTGATGGAAGATCCAGAATGAGTTTTTCAGTTTTAAGTGCAAGGTATGTATTATGAATGAAGTATCATGGTATTATATTAGTTGAGCTATGATGAGTAAAATGTTGTAAAGGCAGTTCCATGTGTAGTGATAAAGTGACAAGGCAGCACAAGCTCACACTAGGGGTCAGAGTGAGGCTGATGCCCCTGGGAAGGTCTGAGAGAAGGACATGAGAAGGTCTAGCAGGTCAACCTCTGAGAAGAGGGCAGAACACCAGACATCCTTTGGATCCTTGTTGTTTACAGTGTCAAGGACACCTATTTATTATGTGAGTAATGTGTAGGTGGAGGTGCGTGAACATCATTGGTTGGAAAGGCACTGTGTCCAGCTTAATTTAGTGTGATGTGTGAGGTGACAGTTGTCATAACTCAATTCAGACTATTCTGTATTGCCAAGTCCTTTATCAGCTGCTGATGGTTGTGGCCAAATGTACAATGATTATGAGAGCTGAGCAGTTAGATTATTATGTGATGGAAGTACTTTTGTTTTAGGACATTCATTAATCCTCCTCTGTCTCTGCCTCCCTCCCTCCTTCCAGCAATAGGAAAAGCACTGAGAGGGATGCTCACCTATTTCAAGACCCAAAATGCAAGGAATTGATACAAATGGTAAGTATGTAGGTCTTAATGTCATGTTACATAAAGGTTTTTAATGGCTAATTGTAACAAGATTATTAAGTGTGGGTGTAATATTGGATCTGTTGAAAAATATATTTGGAAACAAATGAGACTAGGTATTTTCACTTGTAGAATTTCATTTACTGTCACTGATTTTTCAGACATTGTATTTTTGGTTGCATTTATGGATTTTCCCTTTTAAACAGATGACCATATGCTGCTAGAAAATGCAGAATGATTATTCTAGCTTGAAGTGCAAGGTATGTATTATGAATGAAGTATCATGTTATAGTAATTTGAGCTATGATGAGTAAAATGTTGTAAAGGCAGTGCCATGTAGTGATAAAGTGACAAGGCAGCACAAGCTCACACTAGGGGTCAGAGTGAGGCTGATGCCACATTTGCCCCTGGGAAGGTCTGAGAGAAGGGACATGAGAAGGTCTAGCAGGTCAACCTCTGAGAAGAGGGGCAGAACACCAGACATCCTTTTGGATCCTTGTTGTTTACAGTGTCAAGGACACCTATATATTATGTGAGTAATGTAGGTGGAGATGCGTGAACATCATTGGTTGGAAAGGCACTGTGTCCAGCTTAATTTAGTGTGATGTGTGAGGTGACAGTTGTCATAACTCAATTCAGACTATTCTGTATTGCCAAGTCCTTTATCAGCTGCTGATGGTTGTGGGCCAAATGTACAATGATTATGAGAGCTGAGCAGTTAGATTTTTAAAGTTTTGGAAGTACTTGTGATTTATAGAACATTTATTAATCTCATGTTATTTTCAGCAATAAGAAAAACACCGTGAGAGATGCTCAAGTTCTATTTCAAGATTGGAAATGCAAGGAAGAAAAGAAATAGAATCATGGTAAGCATGCAGTTCTTATTATTGTGTATATAAAGGTTTGAATTGGGAATATTTTGTAATATGATTATTAACTATTGGTGCAAATGTTAGATCCACTGAAAATGTACTTGAAATAAATGATGGGACTCGAATTTCACAGTTGCTGTTCCACTGGTTTACCATCATTGACTTTTGAGGTTTTTGTTAAGCCTGCATTGATAGACTTTGCATTTTAAACAGATTCACCATAGCATGGTGATGGAAGATCCAGAATGAGTTTTTCAGTTTTAAGTGCAAGGTATGTATTATGAATGAAGTATCATGGTATTATATTAGTTGAGCTATGATGAGTAAAATGTTGTAAAGGCAGTTCCATGTGTAGTGATAAAGTGACAAGGCAGCACAAGCTCACACTAGGGGTCAGAGTGAGGCTGATGCCACATTTGCCCCTGGGAAGGTCTGAGAGAAGGGACATGAGAAGGTCTAGCAGGTCAACCTCTGAGAAGAGGGGCAGAACACCAGACATCCTTTTGGACCCTTGTTGTTTACTGTGTCAAGGACACCTATTTATTATGTGAGTAATGTGTAGGTGGAGGTGCGTGAACATCATTGGTTGGAAAGGCACTGTGTCCAGCTTAATTTAGTGTGATGTGTGAGGTGACAGTTGTCATAACTCAATTCAGACTATTCTGTATTGCCAAGTCCTTTATCAGCTGCTGATGGTTGTGGGCCAAATGTACAATGATTATGAGAGCTGAGCAGTTAGATTTTTAAAGTTTTGGAAGTACTTGTGATTTATAGAACATTTATTAATCTCATGTTATTTTTCAGCAATAAGAAAAACAGTGAGAGATGCTCAAGTTCTATTTCAAGATTGAAAATGCAAGGAAGAAAAGAAATAGAATCATGGTAAGCATGCAGTTCTTATTATTGTGTATATAAAGGTTTGAATTGGGAATATTTTGTAATATGATTATTAACTATTGGCAAATGTTAGATCCACTTAAAAATGTACTTGAAATAAATGATGGGACTCGAATTTCACAGTTGCTGTTCCACTGGTTTACCATCATTGACTTTTGAGGTTTTTGTTAAGCCTGCATTGATAGACTTTGCATTTTAAACAGATTCACCATAGCATGGTGATGGAAGATCCAGAATGAGTTTTTCAGTTTTAAGTGCAAGGTATGTATTATGAATGAAGTATCATGGTATTATATTAGTTGAGCTATGATGAGTAAAATGTTGTAAAGGCAGTTCCATGTGTAGTGATAAAGTGACAAGGCAGCACAAGCTCACACTAGGGGTCAGAGTGAGGCTGATGCCCCTGGGAAGGTCTGAGAGAAGGGACATGAGAAGGTCTAGCAGGTCAACCTCTGAGAAGAGGGGCAGGTCA